GCGGCCCGGCGGCGGCGACGGCAGCGACGGCGACGGTGGCGACGGCGACGGCGACGTCTTTGAAGGGGCCCCAGGACACACAAATAAATACACACAAATAAAAATATTCCCCATATTTTCCTATATTTTCGGGTTTTTTGTCCTCCCCCCCCACTTCCCATATTTTCCCATATTTTCCTGGGAATCGACGATTCATTGTGTCTGTGTGTTTTTTCCCATCGGCCTCGGGGAAAAGAAGACCACGCAGCGCACAGCCTGAACAGGAGCAGCGCGCACTGTGGCCTACATTGGGCCTCCCGTCGCGGGGCACGTGGCCCTAGAACTACTCGCCGTGGTTGGGCGCGCGGACGACGGCGAAGGCGCCGCCGCCGCCGGCGTTGTCGCCCCCACTGTCGCCGTGGTCGTCGTGGCCCTCGTCGTCGTCGCCGCCGTCGTCCCCATCCTCCTCCTCCTCCTCCTCCTCCTCCTCCTCCTCCTCCTCCTCCTCCTCCTCCCCCTCCTCCTCCTCTAACATCAGATATGCCGACCCCTATCCAAAGGTTTCGTGGGCTTTTCGAACGGACCAACAATTTTAGGCCGAAACCTGGGAGATACGACGCGGGGGCGTCCGTCCTCGATAGGGGTGCGTCCGAATAGCCCCTTGGAGTGCATCCGAAGGTTTTCCCCATTTTCTGAGCGGCCAAACGTTCTGGGCAGAACCCGGGCATTTGGGGAGAAACATCGCATGCGATCCTCGACGCTGATCTGAGACTCCGGGGGGGGCAGTTTCGCGTCACGTGTCCCCAAGGTCGTCCACGGAGACGGCACACCCGAAAACCGAAAACCGACCGAACCGACAGAGGAACCGAAACCGACCGAAACGGTGACGCCGCCAGCAGCCCAGAAGCGCGCGTCGACGCAACAACCGACCGATTGCAACCGACTGCGACGTTGCCAATCCGACCAATCCGCAGACCCCTTCGGTTACCGCCTTTTGGCCTTCGGAATCTGCCAACGTGTCTGCACGGAGTGAGCGTCTTAGAATGCTCCTGTGGTTTCCCTGGGAGTGCCTGTTAATATTTTCTAGGGCAGACCCCCACCCTCTGAAGTTGCTCCTCGCCCCTCTGAAGTTGCTTCCCGTCACTCTTTTCGGCCTCCAGATGGCCAAGATGGCCTCTAAGACGGCTTCCACGACAGCGCAGATTGCCCAAGATAGCCGAATGACTTCTCAAGACAGCCTCAGGACGGCCCTAGAGGCTCCTAAGAGGGCCTCAAGACGGCCCAAGAGGCCTCCAAGATAGCCTAAGAAGTTCCAAGAGGCCTTCCTGGAGAGCCCAAGGTTGATTGTCCTTAGGTTTAGAAGGAGTTTGAGGTTCTCTCCTGTTCGGGTTGCTGACCGCCGAAGACAGCCCAAGAGGCCTCCAAGAGGCCTCCAAGATAGCTCGAAGACATCCCGAGAGGCCCCCAAGAGGGCCCGAAGTCGGCCCAAGAGGACCCAAAGAGCGCCCAAGGGGCTTGCAAGAGGGGAGGGCCCCAAGGCGGCTTTGAAGCGCCCCAAGAGAGCGACAAGACGGCCCAGAGAGGCCTCTTGGGCTGTCTTATGCGGTCAGGAACCCAAGCCTGCCAGAACCTCAGAATCCTTCAACGCTTATGAGGAACAATCAACCGTTTTGGTCTCCTCGGGCTCTCCTGGAGGGCATCTTGGAGACCTCTTTTTTTTCTCACGGCGCGGAAGCCTGGAAGTCTTTACAGGTCTTTACCCGTCGCCTACTCAGGAGGCACAGTCACAAATCTCGCGCAGGCTGAGACGGCCTGGATTGCTGTGCGTCCGCCTCACAGGCTTAAAAAGTTCGACTTGGAAGGAACTAAAATCATCCTTCTCTTCTTCACGGCGCGGAAGCCTGGAAGTCTTTACAGGTCTTTACCCGTCGCCTACTCAGGAGGCACGGTCACACATCTCGCGCAGGCTAATGCGGCATGGATTGCTGTGCTCATGCCTCCAAAGCTAAAAAATCGGCTTGATCCAGCGGAGATCAAACCCAAAGACACTGCGCACCATCAGACCGGAGAAAAAAGACAATAGGGCTATAGGGCTATAAGGCTATAAGGCTATAGGGCTACAGGGCTAGAGTGCTATAGGGCTATTGATTAAGGCTATAGGGCTAGAATGCTATATAACCATATGAATCCGCGCGGACCCCTGGAAGTCTTTACATGCCGTTGCCCATCGCCTCCTCGAGAGCCACGGTCACACATCTCGCGCAGGTTGAGGCGGCATGGATTGCTGTGCTTCTGCCTCCAAAGCTAAAAAGTCCGGCTTGATCCAGAGATCAAACCCAAAAACACTGCGCACCAAAAGAGGCCCAAACGGAGTCACCCGCGCAACACTCGCGGGTCCAGCGATGGACATAGCCAGAATCACGGGGCCAATGAACGCGGCCGTAATGTAGTTGGAGGTGCACATGTCATTCGTCAGCGCCATTTCGAAAAGCCCAACACCTATCGCCCCGAAAACCAGTGTAACTGATCCTGTCGCGAAGGCTACGCGATCTGGCGGCAAGCGCGCCACGACGGCTGCCCAGCATAAACCTTCTAAGAGCACAAGCCATATCTGCCAAGAGGTCGCTCCACCACACCATCCACCTTCGAGTTGTTGAGCGGTAAGTACTAACCATATCAATCCGATGCTGGCGGTGCCAAAGCCCCAAACACTCACATCAGCAAGAGGTCCGACCAATTCTTCAACTTCGCGCAAATGCTTCGTCACAATACCCATGCGCATGATGTCTCTCACGTTTTTGTCAACGAAATGCTCCTTAAAACTCAATCTAATCTCTCGCCGGATCGCCTCCCCGTCTGCCGGGACGGTGCATTTGGCGTCCCGGACGTGGCCCGTAAACCCATTCTGCAACTGCTGTGTTGCAACAGCTGCTGCTGATGTCCTCAGGCGGTCGGACTCGAGGGCGATCGGCGCGAGGAACATCACCGCAAAAGCAAGCCAAGCTGTTACATAGTGGGGGCGTTTTGTGACTTGATGCGCAGCGTAAGCACCAGACGTGATACCAATCAACCGGATGACAATACGAAGAGAAACAGATCCAGGGCGCTTCCGCAAGAATGCGTAGAAGAACGCCAGAATCAACGACAATACCTGGGGCGCTAGATATATCAAATCTTGAGAAAACATGGATTGAGTCGCAAGGATAATACAAAATGCACCTGCTCCTGACAAAGAGAGGAAACCTATTCCGACCACATCGGCCCAGAAGTCCCGCACCAGGGGCCGGGCAGTGCGGATATCTTTCTGCCACGAATATGCAAGGTAGGCCTCGTATGCACACCAGGTCCGTGAGTATATACTGCATGTCCGATTCGGGACCGCCAACATGCGCGTTGCGGACGCCAAAGCTTTCGCAAAAGGAGAATCCGTGGGACTAGATACAAGAGCAGATATGTTGAGATTCTGTGGATTGGAAAGTATACACAAATACGCATGCTTCGCTCCAACTGGCCAAGAGTTCATGACATTGTCACAGAATTCGAAGACGCCCTCCTCCCAACCATGCGTGATAAACAAATCGCAAGGCAGACCCTCAGGATGTAGCATCAAAGCCCAACTCACCTTCCCAGCTGAAAGTGTAACCGGCCTGATGAACTGGCTGTTCACAGTGTGCATGCTAGGGCCAATCCTATCGTCGCTTGCGTCGAAAGGGTCTGACTCCGTTGGTATGATTCGGTGTTCTTGAACTGCATGCCAAACAAGTCGCCGAAGCTGTCGCAGGTCCGCCTTAGTCACACACCACCGTTCCTCAGGCACTTCGCGATGTAAGCGTTCACCGTCGCGAACCGTGGGCGCTGATTCAACAGCGCGGTCTCCTGGACTCAGAGATGCGGCGCCTGATTTCCGCCCGCACTTGGGTCGCACTGATGCCACGAAGACTCCACACAAGCCAAGAGCCAAGCTCAAAAGACCAATGATTGAAAGGCGATAGAAATTATCCTGGGAAAATGCTCCACATTCGAAGCCGTCATATCCAGGGCAGCAGGTGTACTCATATGTATAACCGAAGTGATCGGCCGTTCGTCTGATGTCCTGGCAACCGTAGCCGTCCTCACAAAAGCAAGGCTCAAAAGGACCCTGCGTTATGCAATTTTCTTGGCGGTCTCGGCAAAGATCAGACCGGTTGCTCTGGCATATTATAAGCATGCGCTTGACCAGCAAGCTGGAAATACCAGCACAGCCAGAACAACTGATTTCCAACATATAGCTTGAGCCATACGAGCTTGAGCCAAAATGGCTACGGAAGGGCATCTTGGAGATCTCTTGGGCCGTCTTGGGGGCCTCTTGACCTGTCGTGAGACCGTATTGGGAGCCTCATGGCTTCCAGGACGGCTTTCAACACAGCATTTCCTCGTCGCTTGAGGGGGTGCGCAGGGCGCGGTCTCTATCCGCTGCGAGCTCCATCCGCTGCAAGCTCGGCGTGGAGAAACTCTGGCTCCACATCGCGCCGCATCGCCGATGTATCGTCGATGCGGAGCGATTCTTCGACCCCATCCACTCGGGCCCCATTGTGGAGGCACAGAGCCACGAAACGTGCGAGGGGTGCTCCGAAGCGGACATGCGGAAGGCAGGGCAAGGAGAAGGGAGGAGGGGAAGGAAGGAGGGAAGGAAGGAAGGAAGGAGGAGACGCGCGACGCTGCGGATCCAAAACGAGGACGCAACACACAGGAGGGCAGGGAACAAAAAAAACTCCCGCCGTGATCTGTCACGACTCGAGCGCGCCTGTGCCTCCCCCGAGATCCGGGAGCCCAGCTCCCCGCCCCCACCTTGGAGGCGGCCGGCGGGTCTGAGCCGGTGGGGCCCCGAGAAAATCGGCCAAGAGAATCGACCCCATCCCAAGGTCCACCCGCCTCCATCGTGCAGTCTGTCACCCCGAGTCGGTTTTTGGGGCGGTCACGTGGCCCGAAAGCGGCCTCTGGAGACTGAAGAAGACTAAAATCGGCCTGGCGAATGGCCCAACCGTACGGAGTTGTGAGCACCTCGAAGGTGAACATCATCATCGGTGGTGCCCCCTATGAGCCAGAAACGTGTGAGGGGTGTGCCGAGATGGGTGGCGGGGACGCATGCGATCGGCACCATGTGAGCCTGAGGGGGAGCTCACGATCGGGACACGAAACGTGTGAGAGGTGCGTCGGCATGAATGGCGGGGACGCGTACGAACGGCATCATTGGGGCCTTCGGTGGAGCTCCCTATGAGGGCACCAAGCGTGTGAGGGGTGCGCCGAAATTGGTGCGGGGGACGCATGCGAACGGCACCACTGGGGCCCTCGCTGGAGCTCCCTCTGGGGCCACGAAACGTGTGAGGGGTGCGCTGACATCGGCGTGGGGGACGCACGCGAACGGCACCATTTGGGCCTTAGGTGGAGCTCCCGATGGGGCCACGAAACGTGTGATGGGTGTGCCGAAATAGGTGACGGGGACGCATGCGAATGACACCATTGGGGCCTCAAGCGGATCTCCCGATGGTGCCACGAAACGTGTGAGGGGTGCGCCGACATGGGCACGGAGGACGCATGCGACCGGCACCATTGGAACCTTCGGCCTGCGGTGGAGCTCCCTATGGGGCCACGAAACGTCTGAGGGGTGTGCCGACATGGGTGTGGGGGACGCATGCGAACGGCATCATTGGGGCCTCAGGTGGAGCTCCCTGCAGCACTGCAGAACCAGAAACGTCCGAAAGGTGCGCCGAAATGGGTGTGGGGGACGCATGCGAACGGCACCACTGGGTCCTTGGGTGGAGCCCCCTATGGGGCCACGAAACGTTGGAGGGGTGTGCCGAAATGGTTGACATGCGGAGGGCAGAGGCAAGGGAATGGAGGAGAGGAAGGTGAGGGAACGCGGGGCGTTCCCTCTCCAAAACGAGGACCCAACACCACAGGATGGTTGGGGAAAAATCCCTGAACCCAGCACTTGCCCTAGAACCTGCCCCCCCTTCCTGCTGGCCGTAACAAGTGCTGGGCCACCTCCGACCCGCATCGGCGACTCCGAAGGGTGTGGTTTGCAAAGGGTGTGGTTTGCAACCCGCGCCTGGGGAGGCGGGCGAGGACCTCGACGGAGATCTCTGTCGCGCTCGGACGAGGGCTCATCAGACCTTTGCCGCAACGCGGTGACCCCTAAGGCTAAACCCCAACAATGCCAATCGCAAGCCACAGCCCAGCATAACCAGAGGTCTTTAGATGGGGTCCGAGTGGATGGGGTCCGAGTAGATGGGTCGGAGGATCGCGCCGCATCGTCGGCGATGCATCGGCGACGCCAGCGCAGGGAAAATCGGGATCCACGTCGAGCCGCATCGACGGTGCATCGGCGATGCAGCGACTAGAGGACCATCTGAGCGACGATGAGACAAGGGTCTTACGCGAGATGGCATAGCGACCATACGCCGCGTCTTACGCGCTCCGCCGGCGTGGCGCGCACACGTTGGGAGACGAGGCGCTCGGCTCATACGCACCAGTCTGCCGGTGAGGACAGCCCCACCATCGCTCGGACGTCCATCCCCCGTGCATGTTTCGATGTCGTGCGTGTATTCTTTCGCAAGGCGGTCCAAGATCTTCCTCGATGGCCCTCGCCGAGCAATAATGCACACGTCCGAGCGATGCCAAGCAAACCCCCGTTGTCCTTCGGAGGAAGACAAGCCTGCATAAACATAAACTCTCGACAGTCCGCGCGGATTTCTTGGACCTGCGCTGGACCCGCCCCCCCTGACGCGCAGAGTGCGCCCGGGGCGGCGCCGGAGGCGCCGCCAGGGGGCCCAGCGCGGATCCCAGAAATCCGCGCGCGGAGCGCCAAGAGTCTGGTTTGCGGCGGTTTTTTGCTTCGTCGATGCCTCCGTCGCTCGTCCGGGAGGCCCGGACTGCTCTGGCTTGCGGTCGCCGGCCCCAGCGGGGGCCACCCGCGTGGTGCTCCGCGCGTCGAGCCCGCCGCCAGCGTCCGCCACCTCGGAAGCCGCGCCGAGGCGCGCGCGCGCGCCGAGGCGCGGGGTGGCCGGGGGCAAAGGGGGGGCGCACTCGACGAGGGCCAGGACGAGGACAAGGTCGGGCGAGGATCAGTCGAGAACCTCTGAGATCCGGCGGCCCTGGAGGATGTATCTGGAGAGGCCCTGAGATCCTGGCGTTGCAATTTTTTCACGCCGGGCGTTTTCGCTCAATTTCGGGCCCCGGGGCCCTCACAAATCGATCTGGCTCGAAGAGTGGCTCCGGTCGTGTTTTTTTCATGATCTTGCAATTGTTTCGCAACGTCGGATCTCAGTGGGCCAAGAGGTACCGATATACCACTACTCCACGGACCTCTGCCAGGGTGCGTTCTGACCAGACCTTCGGGGCGAGTCCAGCGGTGACGACGAGGCCCCAAAGGAGAAAACGAGGCAACGGTAGCGGCATCGGTACCCTTTCCTCCTCTGAATGTAGGGCACCGCTGCCTTCTCAGAGCGTTTCTGGAACGCTCTGAGAGCGGTCAGGGTGTGGACTTTGGAAGAGAATGGAAAAAGGGTCAGAAATAGCTAGGGGTATCAAATATTATCAAACAATTGCAGGGAAATCGTCCCCAGACTCTTTTTCGATTCCTCCTGTGCAGAGGGACGCGCCCGATTGAACCCAAGGGGGGGTCGGCAGGGAGAGGGTGGCCCCCAGGCAGGATGGCGAGGAGAAACGCACAAGTGCAGTCAACGCGTACAACAAGGACACAGGATGAGGATGCAGTGAGGGGGGAGGAGGGGGAGGAGGAGGTGGAAGAGAAGGAGGAGGAGGAGGAGGAGATGGAGGAGAAGGAGGATGGGGAGGAGGAGGAGGAGGGGGAGGGGGAGGGGGAGGAGGAGGAGGAGGAGGAGGAGGAGGAGGAGGAGGAGGAGGAGGAGGAGGAGGAGGAGCTGGAGGAGGAGGAGGAGGAGCAGAGGGCCTTGGAGGGCCATGCCGACACTTTGAGAGCGGGGCGCGGCCAGCGCCAGCGGCCAAGGATGGGCCGAAGGGGAGGGATGCAGGAAATGTAACCCTGGAAAGTCGCTCCTCCTCACCATGCGGGTCAGGGCGGCAATTTCGCACAACTTCGGCATGCTCGGCCTCTCGGTCCTGAGAGCGTCCAGGAAGGCGCGTGAGGCCCCCAAGATCGCCCCAGGAGGGAGAAACCCGGGCTTGCTTGTCTAATTAGCCGGCTCTCCCAAGATGGCCCCAGAGGCCGACAGCTGGCTCCGGAGGGGACCCCCGTGACCCCCCCCCACTGTGCACCCAAGAGGCCCCAAGAGACTTCCACGAGGCCCCAAGAATCTTCCAAGAGTCTTCCGAGAGGCCTCTGAGCGGCCTCCCAAGAGACTCCAAGAGGCCTCCAAGAGACCTCTTGCCCACGACCCAGGCACGGTGGCGGGATGGGCAGAAGGACACCAGACAGATGAGACACATATGTCGATCCTCATTCACTGGCCATCGTGCATGCTGTAATATGTAAGCGCTCATGTCTGCCTCAATCTGAAAGAAGCGTACGTACCTGGAACGTGTGTCCGTGGATGCTTTGAATTCCAACGCAAGCAGGGGGGGAGTCCTGTACGTGTCGGGCACAAGAGAAGGAGACGACACGCAAGATTGGTTCACGAACGCAGAGCCGAGTACCCCAATTAATCGCTCTGCCCTGGGCAGGCAAACGCAGATGCGCCGCTGTGGTCTTCACGACCATCCAAGAAAGCATCCACTTGCTGACTCACGACAATCTGTGCTTCGCGCTGGTTGCCCTCCCAAGATCCAATAAAACCTACTTTGGCAGCAGGGATGCAAACGGTGGCGCGGTAACGCGATGGTTGGTCAACATCGTGATCGTTTGTCTCGTAGGTCCATTCCCAAACGCCTTGGCCAGTTCGCAATTGCCCCGCAAAAGCCTGCTGCAACCTGTTTTGCACTCGCATCACGACCGTCCTCCGCTCAGCATTGTGTATAGCATCCTTATCAGAGTCGTCCAAGGCCCAGTCAGTGGGCGGCAGCGGTATGTCCTTGCCGGTCATGGCAGGACAGCTCTGATCCACCTCGAAGATACGATAAAAGGCAGGGTGGTGAAGATACCACAACACCCGCCGCGCAACATCCGCCTGCGCCCCCGCATGCGTGCCGCACGGAGCCCCGGCGAACTTGTGGACCACGCCGAGGATCTCGACCTCCACCGTTGCACGGCACTGGTGGCCGTCCCAGCTGTGGCTCCAGCGCGGGCGCGCAGACCCATCGCTGATCGGGGCACGGCTGCAGTACTCCTCGAGAATTCCGCACTCCCGGGGTGCCTCGCCGCCGACGGGGCCCCCGCCGCTGCGGGCGGAATCGACGGCCAGCTCTGAGCAGCCCGCGGAGGCGTCCGCAGCGGCCTGCCCATCCTTCTGGAGCAGCGCATCACCCCATGCGGTGACGAAGAAGCCGAGAGCGCGTTCGGCGGCGTCCCTTCGTGCAAGCTTCTTGGACAGGTGCCAGGCGCCCGCCACGTGGTGCGGCACTCCGTCCAGCACGAACGCCACCAGAGCC